TTTACTATTACATTACTATTACCTGGTTGGTGGTTCGGAACATTTTTTCCATAATATATGGGATAATCCTTCCCATTGACTTTCATATTTTTCAAGATGGTTAAAACCACCAACCAATTACGATATCTCATCCTGCTCATCCCTTCACCATAATGTATCGATGAAGGGATGAGATGGTCAGACCCCCGGGCCGCGTCTCAGAAGCGCTCCAACGGCATGGTGGCGGATGATCAACGCTTGAAGGAAGACGACGTCATTTTGGAGATCAATGGCATCAAGGGCGACGACAACGCCATGGACACGTGGCCAGAAGGGGCCAGAAGGGCGGGAATTGCTGTTTGATGATTACATGATTACATGATTACATGATTCCTGTTGATTGATGTTCATTAATTCAATGTTGATTAATGTTGATTGAATTTTATTCATGTTGGTTAACATGAATGTTCATTAATGTTGGTTAATCATCAATCATCAATTTTGGAGTATTGTTAGACATGGCGCATCATGGTGCCATGGTGCCATGTCCGGTGCATTAGGTTGACCGTTGCGGAGAACATGACAAGAAATCACAAGAAATTTGGGGGTACCCTCTGGTAATGACTAACATGGGGGTTGAAAATGGGATTTAATGGCATTTAATGGGATTTAATGGGATTCAATGGGATTTAATGGGATTTACCCTCTGGTAATGACTCACATAGCTATTGAACATGGCCCATAGAAATAGTGGATTTAGCCATTGAACATGGTGATTTTCCAGTTCGTCATGTGGCTGATAAAACCAGAGGGTACCTGCCTGACCAATTATCCAATTGACTTTTGTCTATTTCAAGAAATCCCAGGTTGAAAAGAAAACATCACATCCTTTGAAGGAGCGGAGGATCTGTATTGGCCACGTTTTTTTTGCAGGGCCATGATGGATATAGGTTGAGCTGCCGGATGATCCCTGGGCCTTTTTTTTTGACCTTCTGACCTTTCATACTCGAACAACACCATCCTATGGATGGCTTGCTTTATATAACCTGCAGCCAAAACATAAAAGAACACTGTAGTACACCAGCATGACATGTCAGTGCCGGATCTGGCTCACCCTTTAGCTGCAATACATGGAGGTTTCCTAAAATGGGGGTAGCCCAAATCATCCCAAAATTAGACCATTTCGTATTGAAACAACATGAAACAACCATCGGGACTTGGGTACCACCAGTTAAGGAAACACCCATATGTCTTGGTCAGCAAATTGGGAAACGCTCAGGTGGAAGAATGCAAAAAGTCTTTGAAACTGGAGTTTAAGATCAAGAGGAGCCTGCTCAAAGATTGCTGGGATTTGGTGTTTCATGTTTCTTCACACAAGGCTAGGGCAATGCTATAGCTTCATGGTGCCGCTGGGAGGATCGGTTGATATTCTCCTCTAAGCCCACTGGCCATGGCGCCACCCAAACGCACTAGCGCATAGCATGGGGATTGGACCACACCCGGCAACAATAACTGGTTGGTGGTTTGGAACATTTGGATTATTTTCCCATATATTGGGAATCATCATCCCAACTGACGAACTCATATTTTTCAGAGGGGTAGGTATACCACCAACCAGATTTTAATGGGTAGTCATCAACTATTTGTTTAAAATCCTTGAACTGTTAGTCATTGAGGCTATGGGTTCATGTCCAATTGGTCCGATGGATCCAGTCGTACCTCAAATTTTTGGCACTGCCCTGGGGCCGAATCGATCCGAGAAGTCCGTCCAGGGTTTAGCCGGCCTGGTCAACAGCCACAGTTCGCGAACTTGAAAACGGCCCATAGAAATAGTGGATTTAGCCATTGAACATGGTGACTTTCCAGTTCGTTATGTGGTTGTTTGCCATAGGGTGATTTTCTTTTATTTAGTGGCCAAGTAATTCCTACACGCTGAGTAGAATTACTCCACTCATTTGGATTGGAGCACTGTGGATGGAAGAAATCAAGAAATTCTGCACCACCTTGGATGGTTGAGCCCCTTAGTAGGGAATGGATGGGAATGGGGGAATGGGATTATTATTGATAGTTATTGTGAATCATTCCCTCATTCCCTGCTAAGCACCAGTAAGTTGAAATCGATAAACAATGATAAAAGACCTATCAAATTATCAACAGGTTCAGGATTTCCTCCATCCACTGACATTGCTGCCCCGAACTGGCTGCAGGAACTTGAAGTGATTGCTGACAGGCGAGGAGAGTTTCCTAATTGCTGGGGTACCCCAATAGCTGGATGGTTTAGTATATATGAAAACTGGTTGGTGGTTTGGAACATTTTTTATTTTCCATAATATATGGGATAATCCTTCCATTGACTAATATGTTTCAAGATGGTGAAAACCACCAACCAGAAAAAAAAAGCGAAAATTACTTTACTTTACTTCGAGTGATCCCCACCATGACAACTAGACGTTTTGTTACTGGCAAATCTTCTGGCATTCTATCTGACATATCTTCTGGCATTCGATCTGGCAGTCTATCTGGCATATCTTCTGGCATATCTTCTGGCATTCTATCTGAAATGCTATCTGGCGTTCTATCTGGCATATCTTCTGGCATTCTATCTGGCCGTTGAGGTCCAGCGGTGCTCACTGAGCTCGGAAGGTCCCAGGTTGAGGTCCAGCGGTGCTCACTGAGCTCGACTGAGCTCGGCAGGTCCCAGGTTGAGGTCCAGCAGTGCCCAGTGCGCTCAGGCCCTTGCAGTTGAGGTCCAGCAGTGCCCACGTGCAGAAGTTGGCCAAGAGCTTGGCGAAGAGTTGGCAAGGCGGAAGTGAACATGGAAGTGGAGGCAGAGGTGGTGGAGGAGAAGGAGGAGGAGGAAGAGGAGGAGAAGAAGAAGAAGGAGAAGAACAACTCTGATAAAATCTAACAACCCTCACCTGGCAGGTGGGGAATAATGGACGATTTGGGGGTACCCCAAGCATCCATTTGTGTAGTCTGAAAATCATACTGGTGCTGCAGATATCCCCCAGTATGTACCTCCAGATGTGGTATATTTTTTAGTTGGCGATTTTTGAAGATCAACCATATTCTTTTTGTGGTACCCAATTTTCAGACAAATGACAAATCATAGATGTTTTTGCCTGCGGACCGAAAACCGTTCCCGTAAAACGCGCGTTTTTGAATATCTGGATTTTGGGGTGGGGTGGGGTGGGGTGGGGGGGAATTGTTTACGTTCCTTGTACTTCGTAACCTGATATTTTGCTACGCTGCTGAGATCCTGGTATCGTTTACGACGTTTACATTTTTGCTTAACGCTGCGAGACCTCTAGTTTGGGGATGGGGTTGGGGTGGGGTGGGGGGGGGATGTTAACGTTCCTTGTAATTTCGTCCTGATTATATTGCTACGCTGCTGAGATGCTCTGCTGTCTCTGGGATCGTTTACCTACTTTACTGTTGCTACGCTGCTGAGACCTCTAGTGTGGGGTGGGGTGGGGTGGGGTGGGGGGGGATGTTAACGTTCCTTGTACTTCGTACCTGATATATTGCTACGCTGCTGAGATCTCTGGGATCGTTTACGACGTTACATGTTGCTACGCTGCTGAGACCTCTAGTGTGGGGTGGGGTGGGGTGGGGGGGGATGTTAACGTTCCTTGTACTTCGTACCTGATATATTGCTACGCTGCTGAGATCTCTGGGATCGTTTACGACGTTACATGTTGCTACGCTGCTGAGACCTCTAGTGTGGGGTGGGGTGGGGTGGGGGGGGATGTTAAAACGTTCCTTGTACTTCGTACCGATATATTGCTACGGCTGCTGGTGCGGGTGGGAGGGGGGGCGGGTCTGGGATCGTTTCTACGTTACTGTGTGCTACGCTGCGGAGACCTCTAGTGTTGGGTGGGGTGGGGTTGTGGGGTGGGGGGATTTTAACGTTCCTTGTACTTCGTACCTGATATATTGCTACGCTGCTGAGATCTCTGGGATCGTTTACTACGTTACATGTTGCTACGCTGCTGAGACCTCTAGTGTGGGGTGGGGTGGGGTGGGGGGGGGTGTTAACGTTCCTTGTACTTCGTACCTGATATATTGCTACGCTGCTGAGATCTCTGGGATCGTTTACTACGTTACATGTTGCTACGCTGCTGAGACCTCTAGTGTGGGGTGGGGTGGGGTGGGGTGGGGGGGGATGTTAACGTTCCTTGTACTTCGTACCTGATATATTGCTACGCTGCTGAGATCTCTGGGATCGTTTACGACGTTACATGTTGCTACGCTGCTGAGACCTCTAGTGTGGGGTGGGGTGGGGTGGGGGGGGATGTTAACGTTCCTTGTACTTCGTACCTGATATATTGCCATGTTGCTAAGATCTCTGGGATCTCTTACTACGTGACATGTTGCTACGCTGCTGAGATCTCTAGTGTGGGTTGGGGTTGGGGTGGTGTGGGGTGGGGGGGCATGTTAACGTTCCTTGTACTTCGTACCTGATATATTGCCATGTTGCTAAGATCTCTGGGATCGCTTACTACGTGACATGTTGCTACGCTGCTGAGATCTCTGGGATCGTTTACTACGTGACATGTTGCTACGCTGCGGGTATCTCTGAGATCGTTTACTACGTTACAGGTTGCTACGCTGCTGAGATCCTTGGGACTTGCTTACTACTTTACATTTTGCTACGCTGCTGA